TACCATTCTAACTTCTCAGGTGGTAGCACGGTATTTTGGAACGTATATCCGTGGGAATGTCCACCAGGCTGGACTTTACTGTGCTGTTGACTGTAGTGGCCACATTGACCACCTGACCCATGCCAGGAGCCATCTCCGTTGCAGGTGCATTTCTGCATGATGGTTGTCATTTTGATTAAGAGTGCAAGGCTCCGGAGGCAGACTCTATGATTTCAAATATTGGCTCCCATATATCCTAGTTATAGGACTATTCGTGTGTCTCCTTTCTTTATCAGTAAAATAGGGATTTTTATGCGTCTACCACACAGTGTTGTTGTGAGGATTAAATGAGTTAATATTTCTAAAGAGCTTAGAACAGTGCCTGGCACATAATAAATGGTATGTAAGTTTTAGTAATGTATAATTATCATCATTATTATTTTTTTTTTAGAGATGAGGGTCTTGCTATGTTGCCCAGGCTTGTCTCTAACTCCTGGCTTCAAGTGATCCTCCTGCCTCAGCCTCCCAAGTAGCTTGGATTACAGGTGCAAGACACCGTGTCAGGCTACCAAGATTTTTTGTGTGAGGTACTTGGAACTACACAAGGCACTTCTTGGGTAAAAAATGCACAGGAGTGCACTCGCAGGTGTATATATTTAAATGAACAAGTGCTTCTTCTATGATCCTGGAAGTGTAATTTACCAGCAGTGCAGTTTCTCCTCTCCCTCTCCCTTTGCTACTACCTGCCCTCAGCTTTCTCATCATCCTCTCCCTTTTTCCTTTGCATGTACTTTGTTCTCTCTTCCTCCATCCTAGCTTACTTTTTCTTTCTCATACTTACAAATCAACTGGGCGCTGTTTCTCTTTTCTCTTACTCTCCTAAGTTTTATTTTATTTTAGTCACTGAAGTGATCTGAGAAGTGGCTGTAAAAAGGTAACACCAGCCTATTGACATGCTGCCTCAAACTGAAGGGGGTGAGTCACAAAAGGAGAGAGTCCAAGGTTGGACAGAAGAGACGCAAGTTCCTTCTGGCTTCAGAGTTCTATGTCCACCATTTCAAATTTAGATTCATATTTTATTAACATTTATCTTTCCCTTTGTATGGCTTAAGCACTAGGCTAGGGCTTTTAGATGGATTATTATTTAATCCTTACAACTCCTTAAAGGCAGGTATTACTCCCATCTTACAAATGAAGAAGAAAAGCAAAAATGGAGAGATAATCAACTTATCCAAGGCCACACAACTGGAAATCAGAGAGCCAACGTTGGTGCGTATACACGCTAACTCTAAGCTCCAGTCTCTTCCCACTACTCATAATTCCTCCCACACAAAAAAGTAGAAGTAGGCTAGGCACAGTGGCTCAAGCCTGAAATCCTAACACTTTGAGAGGCTGAGGCAGGAGGATTGCTTACGATCAGGAGTTTGAGATAAGCCTGGGCAACATGGTGAAACCCTGTCTCTACAAATAATAAAAAATCAGCTGGTTTGTGATCGTGCATGCCTGTAGTCCCTGCAACATGGGAGGCTATGGCAGGAAGATTGTTTTAGCCTAGGAGTTCAAGGCTACCGTGGGCCATGATCATGCCACCGCACTCCAGCTTGGGTGACAGAGTGAGACCACATGCCCCAAAATAATTGCAATATAATGTGATTAATGTAAATACGTAGCGGTACTTATAAGATCTTATGGAAATACAAGTGAGGTAGGGAGGGGAATTTCTAATATTTCCTAGGCAGATTTTTGAACTGGGGTCCTTGAAATTTTGGAAGGTCAGTGGAGGAATCACTTGAAGTTGTCTGCAAAATTTTCTTAGAGGGGTTTGTGGCCAAGGGAGTAGAGAGGTGGAAGTTTGACCGGGGGCATCAGAGAGTATTAACTGTGTGAATGTTTGAGCTGATCAAGAGTTTGCAAGGAATTAGAAGAGGAATAAGACAGTCTAGGCAAAAGAAACCACAAGTGGAAAAGTACATGCAAATAATTTTCTTGGACTTCAGCCTAGGGTACCATTCAAGGAAGCAGCAGGAGACAAAGCACCTAGAATAGGTGGTTAGGGTCCAGACCAAGAAACAAATGATGTTCAGGGCCAAGAATGAATTCTCAAGGATATTAAAAATGCTCTCGACAACATTATTACAGGTCACTGTAAAATGTATTCTCCAATGCCATTAAACAGTATGATGGAAGTTCTTTCTTCCCTTTTCCAGATGCTTGTAGCAAAGTCTCTGTATTTTAGGATAAATTTGCATTCAGGAGTAGAGCTGGGAGCCTAACCTTGTTTCTGGGTGATAATGTGTTCTGAATTCTAAACAATGGCTTACAAAACTTCTGAAGAGCCATGAATTCTGTGAATTGGCATGGTGGCACCACCCATTGGTGCCTTGGCGGTAGGTCATTGAATCCCTGGTGTCCAAATATGGGGCTGTAAATTAGAGGAGGGGCAGGGCAAGAGGATATTGCCCTAAATGAAGATATGCTGAGTTTGTTACTGGAAAAGAGGCAGAGAGATTTCGGATCTGGATTTTTGAGGTAATAGTAAATTTATAATCCAGGTATCACTGTGGAAGTCTCTGCCACGCTGATTTTATTTTCTCCCCAAACTTCTGAGGTTGATAACTTAATCAGGTAGATTAACTAGGTTAGTTAAAATAAGATATATATGCAATCATCTCCCACAAAGGAAGCTTGTCTGAACTGGAACTGTTTCTATAGATTTCAAGGCTCATTCACTTGTCTCCTTAGGACAGGAACGATATTCCTAAGGCTGATAATTCCCCTTTCTGTCTCAGTTGATCAATACATCATTTTGCATCCTCAGCACAAAAACCCAAATGTGCTTGCTTCCTTTTCTAAAAGAAAGCCTCTGTCTTGCTGGGATTAAGAGGGCATAGTCCCATGACACAGTTTGCAGTCAAATTTTGGCACCTGAAAAAACCTTCCCTCTTTAAAGAACTGCGGGCAACCAGTCAAGAGGGACCAGAGTTTTGGCATTTGGACTGAAAACATTACCTGCCAACTGGGCTGCTCTGAACGTATTGTTTCCGAAACCAGGGGAAGCGCATGTAACAAGAGGAGGCTTTGTTCTGTTGGAACATTTTTGATGAGCCCATCTGCCCCAAGTTGAAGGGAGAACCTGCCAGCCATGTCTGTTCACTTTCTCCCATTTACCAGCCTCCCTTGGACTCCTGAATACCCTCTAGGGCATGACTGTTACCTCTCACAACTCATATTTCAGGTATTTTTTGCTTTGTTCATCCCATGACCGTGGAATTCTATGTTTCATACACAGTTGCTTTGACTGGCAGTCAAACACTTTTCTCTCAATGACCCAGTCTCTCCTTCTGGTTGCTATCCTACCAAGACAGCGAGGAGAAATTTGCCCAAGCAAAGGCTAAATGCCCGAACTGACGTTTCTTCTAGAGTTCCCTTCCCTAATTCTACTTTCATTCAACAAGTATTGATTGGGCACCGACAGGACCAGGCACTGTTCTCAGCTCCTCAGAGACAGTAGTGAGCAAAGCAGCCTTCCAGAAGCCCATCTGAGAGGCCTCAACTCACCAAAGCCCAGGCCAGAAGCAGAGAAGGGGCAGGAGGGGCCCTCAGGCCAGGCTGGGGCTCAGCACCCATGCATCAAGTGGTTGGGCTCTCAGACTCTACCTTGTGATCTCTGTACTCTTTAATTATTTGTCATGAACAAATTATCTATCTATCTATCTATCTATCTATCTATCTATCTATCTATCCATCTATCTATATCTATCTATCTCTATCTATCCATCTATCTATCTAGCTATCCGTCTATTTTTTTTTCTTAAGAGACAGGGTCAGGCTGGGCACAGTGGCTCATGCCTGTAATCCCAGCAGTTTGGGAGGCCAAGGCAGGTGGATCACCTGGGGTCAGGAGTTCAAGACCAGCCTGGCCAACATGGTGAAACCCTGTCTCCATGAAAAATACAAAAATTAGCCGGGCATGGGGGTGGGTGCCTGTAATCCCAGCTACTCAGGAGGCCAAGGCAGGAGAATCGCTTGAACCCGGGAGGCAGAGGTTGCAGTGAGCTGAGATTGCACCACAGCACTCCAGCCTGGACAACAGAGGGAGACTCCATCTCAGAAAAAAAAAAAGAATTAAAAAGGAAGAGATAAGAGAGGCAAGATCTCACTCTGTCACCAAGGCTAGGATGCGGTGGTGTGATCATAGTTTACTGCAGCCCAGAACTCCTGGGCTCAAGAGATCCTCCTGCCTCAGCCTCCCAAGTAACTGAGACTACAGTTGCATGCCCAGCTAATTTTTGTAATTTTTGTAGAGACAGTGTTTTGCCATGTTGCCCAGGCTGGTCTCCAATTCCTGGGCTCAAGGAACCTTCCTATCCTGGCCTCCCAAAGTTCTGGGATTATAGGCATGAGCCCCCACATTCAGCCCAAATCTAAACCCCTTTTTTAATTAAAAAGGAAAAGAACTTCACAATCTATAGAATACGATTTCTACAGAGAAGACGAAGACGGAAACAAAGTTGTTCAGCAACCTGAGAAGAAAACTCCTTCAGTAGAATATTAGATGCTAAATGGTTAATCAGATGGTCCCGATCCCCTGGGGGTTGCAATATGAAGTACATCATTACATCCTTCATTCTTAGCATGTGTGCAAATCTTTAAAAAAGTTTTCACAGATAAGCAGAGGCTGGAAAAGCTCTGGTCTTTAACAGGAAAAACTTTTCTTGGCTTACAAAACCTTTTTTAGAGTCTTGGGGGAAAATAAATATCTACATAATTATATAAATATATCTTATATAATGAATGGTAAGTCACAAAAATGGCAAAGCCCAGTGAAGGAATTCTGAAGCAGTCGCTGCCTAGCCCCCTCGGAATTTTGATGGATTCATCAGTAGCACTGAAAATCCCTAGATACTGACAGTTACTTTATACCTGTTTCCCACAATAGTCCTTTCCTGAATATACCAGTCTAAATGTCAGAAGGACACCTAAAAACAGTCTTAAAATTTGAAAACAGACAGCCTACATACCCTGCAATCTTGTTCCTCCATGAAGTGAGCTGCTGGCCATACGTTCAAATGGTCTCTGACTTCCTCTCTGACTCAGATCGCATGAATCCGCAGCACTGATGTAAGGCTCTAAATGGGAATCTGTTTTCAATTCAGGGCAGATGTGGGACACTCTCACAGCCCTAGGGATTATCAACTTTAAAACAAATCGCCTTCAGGACGATAAGAGAGGCAGTAACTGCTTCCTGAGGCCTCACTGGGGTCCCTTCCAAATGCTTAACATATAACACAATAACTATGACACAAAAGCAAGTTTCGTTCTTTGGGTTCTCAGACTTTAAAATGAAGCTTGCAAATGCCCCTCAGAAACAAAGCTTGAAAATATATCTCAGAACATTTAAATAGAAATCCAGATATTTTAGTAACTAACATACAACAGTGATCCAAATGCCCCTTTCTCCCCGCCCCTACAAAACTCTCAGCCAGGGTTTGGCTCATTGAGTATAGTTTTTCCACAAATTGAATTCGAATTGTTCTGGTTCAGAGTTTTCTTGGCTCAAGGAAAGGAAGGGAGGACTAGTCCAAGACTTCCACAGAGAAACATCCAGAAATCCATTTAACACGGTAAGTTTAATGTTCTAGGATTAGTGTTCATGCATGGACTCTACGTCTCAGAATGTCCTCTGTTCTGAGAACACTTTGTAGAGTTGGCTGATCTGCTAGGCTTCAAACTCTGAAACACCTTCGCTGGGGCTTAATCTAGTCTAACCTGATTTGATAACCCTGAAAAAAAGTTACAAAAACATGAATTTTGAAGACATCTACAGGAAACATAAAAACATTTCCCTTTTATTAAAATAAAACAAAAGTTTTATAAAGTCTTAAAAAATATTAAAAGTTAATGTGCATGGCATTTCCCTACACAAATAAGTTTAGGTGTTGGTAACATCAGTGAATAGTCAGAGGATAGTCACATTAAGTACATATTCTTGGAAAACACAGTCTATTCTTTAAAATTAATATTGTGAGTGTGACATAACAGAGTTACATGGTAAAGCATCAAGTCACTAAGGAACACTAGGGCTAGTATTTCTCCTATCTTCATGGGGAAAAATAAATTAAACTTCCTGTAGCTTAGGAATGTGCTAACATAACCATTAGGCAGCGGTAGAAGTGGTATTAGGAGTTGTGGATGAGCCGAGCATGGTGGCTCACACTTGTAATCCCAGCACTTTGGGAGGCCGAGGCAGGTGGATCACCTGAGGCCAGGAGTTTGAGACCAGCCTGACCAACATGGTGAAACCCTGTCTCTACTAAAAATACAAAAATTAGCCGGGCGTGGTGGTGGGCACCTGTAATCCTGGCTACTTGGGAAGCTGAGACAGGAGAATCACTTGAACCCAGGAGCGGGAGGTTGCAGTGAGCCAAGATCGTGCCACTGCACTCCAGCGCGGGCAACAAGAGTGACACTCTGTCTCAAAAAAAAAAAAAAAAAAAAAAAAAAGTTGTGAATGAGATGTCCAGAGTCCCAGAGACAGAGACCCGTCCCTAGATTTCTCTTTAACTGAGTGGCCTCGGACACGCCGTTGCCCAGGCTACCATTTCTTTATTTGTAAAGTGGCTGAATTAGGGAGAAGATATCTAAAATTCAAACCTCTAATATCAGTGATGGTGTATTAACTAAGAACTGGTAAAACAGAAGGTAAGAGTCTTTTTGTTTCATTTTGTTTTCAAAAATAATCACTAACTGCCACTAGTTTGACATCTCAGACAATTTTTTTTTCTACTTTGGAGCATACATCTACAATTCTGGCTGATAAGGCAAGTTTTAGCCAAGAAATGGGATCTGAAGGATCAAGAAATCCACTACCTTATGTAAATTAGATGCCTAGATTTTTAAGGAGGTTGACAGGTTTTTAGGGAAACAATCACCAAAGGCATAACTGCCCAATTTTAATTCGGCTCATGGGTGTCAGTAATGCACTTACTTAGCAATTAGGATCAGTTCAGTACAGAAAAACTTTAAAAATATTAAAGTGAGTAAGGAAAAGCATACATTGCTAGCGAGCAGTGGGTGGTTTTGATAGCTGGCAGGTAAGGTGAGGGATACCCGGAGTGGAGGATAGCGTGGTTTGGTAAACGAGCACCGGCTTATGAGTCAGGAGACCCAAGATCTAGTTCCAGGGCTGCCACTAACTAGCCCTGTGACCTTGGCCACCCTCTTCCCTGTTTCTAGTATGTTTCCTTCTCTATACCAGAAAGGTCTTAGTCTGTCCATCCTCTTTCTGTCCCAGCAACCAAAAGAGAAATTCTGCACCACTGAATACAGCTTTTGCTATAGAATACAGCTCCTACAGCTGTGCTATAGGAGCACAGAAGCCAAATCTATAACATCAGTGTATATCAGTCTACGGTGTGCAACAGAAAATAGTTGTACACTGGGAGATAGCTAACTGGGAGATGATCATTTTCACAGTTGTGGGAGGTAGCCACTCCCCTGCCAAATACCAGTAAAGTCCTGTTCCAAAGAACACCGTCACGATTAAGGTTTTCTTTCCACAAATCTATTTTCATTTACCAGCTATGATTTGAGGATATAGAAACAATGTTTAAAATAATCATATATAATACTACTGTTGAGGGTTGAATTGTGCTCCACCACACCCCTCAGATTCATATACTGAATATCTCAGAATGTGACCTTATTTGAAGATAGGATCTTTACAGAGGTAATTAAATTAAAATGAGGCCATCAGAGTGGGCCCTCATCCAAACATGCAATCTAACAATGAAATGACTCAACAAAGCACAGGAAAGTATGAAAAATTACAAACCTAAAGAAACTAGGTTGGGGGTGGTGGCTCACCCCTATAATCCCAGCACTTTGGGAGGCTGAGGTGGGAGAATTGTGTGAGGCTGGGTAACATGGTGAAACCTTGTCTCTGTAAAATATTTGAAAAATTCGCTGGGCATAATGGTGTGTGCCTGTGGTCTTAGCTACTTGAGAAGTGGTGGTGGGAGGATTGCTTGAGCCTAGGAGGTTTGTGCCACTGCACTCCAGCTTGGGCAACAAAGCAAAATCGTATCCCACACAAAAAAAAAGAAAAAAAGACAAAAACCAATTGAGAGGGAGGGCACACGACTGGGAGTGCCCATAGCTCTGTTCTTGCTCAAGGTATCATGTGCACTAGTTCCTCCTCACAAGTCAGATTTCAGCTATTAGCTGCCACACCTCCACGGGACATGGGACTCCAAGCATTTATAGTATACCCTCTTATTGATGATAAGACTTTTTCCAAATGTAAACAAACCTGGCAATAATGTATTGTTATTTCACACTATTAAATGTAGGCTACATTGATATTCTCTATTAAAACACTTTATCAAAAATAAAAAGAGATCCTAAGAAATGGACATGGTGAATACACATTAAAACAAGCACTTATTACATGTAGCAAATGGCTATAATTTCCAAAGACATAATTCCAACTGGATCCAGCATTGTTATTCCCCAATGCCTTATCTGACAAAGTTTATAACTGAGTAACTCATACGAAACCATTATAAAGGAAATGCAAATATCTGAAACTCATCTGTTTATTAAAATCAATCTCCATTATCTTTCTTCTTAAAAAGCTTAGAAATAAATATAGTCTCTTAATGTTGACAGTATTTATGGCTCAAACAAAGCTGAGATGAAGGCTGAACTCAAACAATGCAGGAAACAGAAAGCAGAAAATACTTTAAGGTTAATTACTTAGGCCATGCAGGTAGATGTGACCCCAGAGGGAATGGAGTTCCACAGGGCTTAACTTTTCAATGACAACATTAGAATGTTCAGCAGAAGCTGATAGACCAACCATTCTGGCAGTCTGATGCTTTCAAAATGGTAGATGAGGGAAATCACACAGAGTTGAGCAGAGTTTTACAACTTGCATATCAGCAGTTGATTACATTTTTTCCTTCATATTTTCCACTTTTCTGTGACATAGTAGCTTGTTTCTATGTTATTTACATTAAATGTGATCTGCCTATCTTTCCCATATGAGCTTCAAGTAATAGGGTAAACTTTATAGAACTGTGCAATATTTCCTTTTGGAAGAAAAATAATAAAAATTTAGTTGTGTCTGTACCATCTGGAGGTCAGTTCTCTTTGTGCACATCAAAAAGCTCAACTTATTTTATTTCACAATATTTGAATATTTCTTTTTAAATGAAAGATTCTTTCTATGCATTTCCTGGCATCCCAAATTGTTTGATTCAGAAAAGTTTCATATAGTTACAAATCTCTTCTGTCAGTCAAAATTTCCTGAACTAGAAAGTTCAGGAACTGAACGGAACTGAACGGAACTGAAAGGCTGGTGATGATTCCGGGACAGAGAAATAGCTAACAGTCGTATTATTTATTGTTCATGTAGTGGGTTAACACACACTGGCCTTTCCTTCATGGGATTCATAAAGTTTCACATGGTTTTGAGATGATTCAAGGGTGAAGACTTTAAACAAGATCCCTTCCAACTCTCAGACTATGATTCAACACATTGTTTCTCATAATTGCCTGCCTGCTGTTAAGAGTCAGCTAAGGATGCCTGTTGAAAATAGACTCCACGCCCCCTTCCCTTCAAAGGCTGATTCTGTAGGTATGGTGGGACTCTGGGGCTCCTTATCATTGGGAAGGTTTAAGAAACATTTTTTTCCCTGACTCTTAATGTTGGTTGGATATTGGAATCACTTGGGGAGCTTTACAAAAGTAGTACTGGGGCTGGGCGCGGTGACTCTCGCCTGTAATCCCAGCAGTATGGAAAGCCTAGACGGGCGGATCACGAGGTCGGGAGATCGAGACCATCCTGGCTAACACGGTGAAACCCGGTCTCTACTAAAAACACAAAAAATTAGCTGGGCATGGTGGCGTGCACCTGTAGTCCCAGCTGAGGCAGGAGAATTGCTTGAACCCCAGAGGCAGAGGTTGTAGCGAGCCAAAATTTCGCCAGTGCACTCCAGCCTGGGCAACAGAGTGAGACTCCATCACACACACACACACACACACACACACACACACACACACACACACACACACACAAAGTAGTACTGGGCCTGGGTCCCATGGAAGAGGTTTTGGCTTAATTTATGGTGTGGCCTGGGCGTTTGGATTTTTTTGAAGCTGCCGGGTGCTTCTAATTTGCAGCCAAAGTTTAGAACCACTGACTTGATTGAAACAACAGCCAGTTATCTGTAACATATGTGAAAGCAATATCTAACATTTCCATTAAGAGATGCAAAGTGCATTTACAGATGTGTGTCTTATTTGAATCCTTGACAACCTGGTGAAATAGGTTAGAGTTGGTATTATATTTCCTTTTCAGGTAAG